CCGACCATGCAGACCTGGCTGAAACAAAATCGACCCCATTGTCACAAACGTTCATTGTTTTTGATACACACTGAACAAAAACAGCTAGTACAAATGGAACAATAAGAGGAATGTTTTTCTTTACCAACTCCACGAGGCCAAAAACAGTCCTGCCCAAGAAGACCCAACGAAATAACTGCAATAATTCTCTTAACTTTATAATTACTCTTATAACTATTATGCTTTGCTTTTGTCGATTACTTAAACGGTCAAGCAACCATTGGCGCTCGTCAAGTTGTGTTGATTAACATGATCCAAACGTCTTAAAGCCGTCATACTGTCACTTGGGGGGTTGAATCACGCAGATTTTGGTAGGTTTAAACCACCTATGTCCAGTAACTTATGTAAGAAAGCTTTTTTTTTTTAAAGGTAGTTACAGACAATCGTCCTACACAATATTATATTGTATATCTGAATTTCAGATTTATAGGCACTAGCATAAAAAAACAGTTTTTTGCTTCTCCATAAAAAATTTGTCTCTTGGCACTTAGGACTTAGGCGGTTGCATCAACTGGCTAGCGAATATAAATCCACAAGTCTAGATTCAAGTGACATCGTTTATAAGCCATGACTGAAATTATGATATAATGTCCACTACAGACGATACAGATAGTAATTAACACAGGCGGTCAGGAGGGATTTCAGTTTCTCCATTTTGATTCATTTTTATGTAAACCTTTTTCAACACAGTTGAGGTTATTTAATACACACAAACATTATACCCAAAGATGGACCTCCACAAAATATCAAAGCATGCCTTTTTCAAAATTAATTCAGACTGACACAGATCAGCTTAGCAGAGGGCTTATAAAGTTAACTTTAAGAATCTTCACCTCTTTCAAAACTGTTTAGACCAGTACTTGCCTACCAGTTGGCCATTGGTTACTTTGGTCGGTGGAGCGGATCATAGTAGTGACAGATATTATTTGATGGCCCACTTGGAAATACATGCAGCTGGGTGTATGAAAATGTTAGCCTCTGAAAGGTGGAAAAACTGGACACTGGCTACAAAAAAAGTCAACGACCACTGATTTAGACTGTTATGCTTAAGAGTCTATACAGAAATGTCAAGTTCCCAAAAGTAAAGTCTGAGAATATCAAAATGTAGTTTCCTCAACAAAGACAAAGTCCCAGTTGCTGACCATACGAGAAGGGATAAGAATAAGCCATCACAACTATTTCCCTTTACAATCAAACATTCTAGCACATTCATATATTTTCGACCAAAAAAAAGGTATTTAAAAAATAAGTATCAGTCACATTGAGCTTACTTGTTCACGGCAGGCTCAAACACTTTACTGACGTATTCTTGGTTTAGCTGAAAATACAAAAAAAGAAAAAAAAGTACACAAACTTTGTTAATAAACGTAATGATTCTGGAAAGCTTTTTAAAATATGAGTGGTTTTTTTAACCCAAAATTTTCACCATATAGGAGATGGGCTATGATTGACCCTGCACAGGGCCAACCTGGGCTTAGAAGAATACAACATCCCAGCACAAAGATGGAGATATTCAATAAAAATAAGAGACACAACTAATACGAGTCTAAAAAAAAACATGCTTACAAAAATAACTGTTGTTCTAATAACAATAACGAAAATAACGTTAAAAACAGGAAAACATCGTACCCTGTACTGTTCAGTAGAAAAACGATTTTTTAAAAACCTTCAGAAACTTCAAATATGAAGAAATGTGAACCCTTACCCTATGACCAATAACAACAAGGAGTACATTCTCCTCTCTGGAATGCCATTCTGAAACACACAAAAAGCAAAAATGAAGTAGAAAGTTTGAAGAGGGAAAATGCAAAAGTATCTTCATTTGAATCTGCAGTTGTTCACTTGCTGCACCAATTTGCACAAAATAATAAGAACAAGTTGAGAAGAATTCTACAAAGTAACAGGGAAACAGTATATGACTAGTAGTTAGCTCTTCAGGCACAAAACAACCATGATAATACACAAAATTTCAATATGACAACTGCAGCTAAACCAACATAAAAGTCTAATACCACCACCATCAATAATAAAGATAAAAATAATTACAACAAAACTGCTACACTAAAACCTGCAGTAACCGTACTAACAACACCACTAGCACCACCATCACAAGAACCACCAACAAGCACTTCAGTAAAAACAACAGTGCCAGCAGCAGCAACATGACCAACAATAGCACCCAGTCACCTGACCACCCAGTCACCTGACCACCCAGTCACCTGACCACCCAGTCACCTGACCACCTGACCTGGTTTGTCTTTTTTGTTTACTTTGGGTTGTGTTTTTGTTTTAGTAGAGAAACTTTGGTTTCATGACACTAGCAACAAAAAGAAGTTTATAATTATCGAAGAATAGAGAGGTCTTACCACGAGAGAGTAACAAAGAAAAGGAGGAGAGGTAACCAATATAATTTAATACCACACTGCACCATCCGCCAAACACCCACACTCACCTTGAAAGGCAGACACCAGGTAGGTAGGGTTCTTGACCGGTCGTATTCCAGCAACCAGCAGGAACAGTTTGAGTGTGTCGGGAGACTGAAGACATGCTAGATCAGGCTGCTCCTCACGGAGATGTGAGAGTAAGTCGAACTGTGATGGGGCGGTCTCAACAGCTGGAAGGGACGGGGGAGAGAGAGGAAAGGTTCAAACACAAAATTTTATCTCTGTGAGGGTTCACGCAGAGGACGGACGCTATGCCTGTGGATGGCTTTTGATCAATACGTACTCACGTAAGCATGAGTTTGAACACTGACAGTTTACACACCTGACCATCACTTTCGGTTCAGTCTGCTAAAGAGTCTGGTGTACATGGGGCAACAGGCTCTAGTCTGGCTACCGGAACGGATACATATGAAATCATTTATGCTTGTTAAGTTTTCTCCGCATACCACAAGGCTAACTTGGAATCGGAGTTGCAACTGCAGTAATCTATAAGTAATCGAATCTACGAGGGGCAAAAAAGCGCTGGGGTGAAAGTGGACACATTGAAATTCAAAAAATGAAAATTGCGGGATGAAAACGGATTCTCCCCCTCATGGTGTTAGCAAAATAAGAAAGAGGAAGAACCCTCACCTTGGGAAATGACCTTGAGACGCTCCGGACATAGGTTGGGCCACAGGAACAAAGCACGATCTTTGATGGTCTCACTGAAGCACACAACATACCTGGAGGAGTTTGGGTTTGAGTAAGAATTAATTATTTTTTTTTACTGTGTAGTCATTTTTATGCCTCCATCAATACAATTTAGATCAGCAGAAAGACTGACATACACTTGAAAAAAAATTCTCCCTACATAGGAATCAAACTTGTGTCTTCAGCGTCTGATAGCAAAATGCCTTGTCACTACACCAGACACACTGGTTGAGTGTGAGATTGTTTTAGTGAGTGTTTGACAACTTCTTTTTTAAACACAAACGGCAGTGAGGCTGATTAGTACAATAATAAAACAGCAGAAACACACAACAAGTACATGAGTTGTGACAGATCAGGGTACCATGTATACTCACTAATAATACAAGCAGTTAAAAAATAAAATAGGTCCAAAAAGTGTCCCCTCCCCTCCCCTTTTCCCATATATAGCGCTCCATACTGCCATGTTCGACCACAGAAAGAGGAAGTATGCAAAATAGGATTTTAATTGAGCAATTACCAATATTTTGAACATTTATTGACCGATGGTGGGTTGTTTTTCTTCTCTACTTCAACTATTATATGTGTATTCCAAAGTTATGCAAGCCAGCTCAAAGAGGAAGAGAGCAAGGTACGAGGCCAGCTTTAAAAGCTACTGTATACTAGATTTCACACATTGTCATATTAAGCCCCCTCCAGCATGACAGAAATTCACCCCTCATCATACAGAATAGTATGCGACTGAGCAGTACACATCAGAAATATAAAAAAACAAGTACAGTCCAACCTGCTCTTACTTAACATCCTCCAGTTCAAGACAACCACATGTACAAAATAGCACTTTATACTCTCCC